GAAGATCAAATAAATGTTTCAGTTAAATTCAAAAAATAGCTTACTTAAGATCTTTATATAAAATTCATTTATCAAACAATCACTTTGAACTATTTTAACCATTTTCAAGGCATACTGAATTTAAAATCAAAATTAAAAACTTCATTAGAAGCAACTATCCAGAAAATTAAACAAATGGCATATTTCCTATTAACTGATATAATTAAAATTCAGAATGCTGTATATAATTCTAGGAAGTATTCTAAACTTAACACATATTTGACATTTATCATTTCTTATTTTGTTAACCTGACACCAATACAATTCAATATTCCAGCTGGCTAATGGACTACTTTAATTGCATTAAGTGCATCACTCAGATAAACAGAAAATTTGAATATCCAGCATATTCTTCATTTATACTTGATAATAGAGAATTAATTATAAACAAATGTTACAATAATCTTTAAATGTAAGGACTCAAGTAACAGAAACAAATCATTATAAATCCTTAAGAGTAAAAACTTCAGCAAATATCATAGTTCATATAACTAAACGTAAAATTAATTATAAATAAAATGTTTAAAATGTATAATAATTGATAATTAAAATGTATAATGATTGTAATTGAATTTAACTCTAATAGAGAAAACATATTGTTTAATTATCATCAAATACTAATCTACTTTTTATAAACATATATAACAATAAAATAAATATATGAGAAATTAAGAAAAATCATATGCTCTAATTACTAAAGTTCATTTCCTTAACTTATCATCCATTCTAAAGAAAACTTTATAGTTAAAATTTTTTTTTTATCGTAATCAATGGAATGACAAATAAATATAATATCTATATCAAATACATTTTGATTAGATAGCTTTATGTTACATTTCACTTACAATGTTTAAACAATACAAAACTTTAATTTATAATTTTGAAATTAAACAAAAATCAATAATATTTATTTTCCAACTTTCGGATTTTGTTACCAAGTTGAATATGTAACTGAAGAAATAAATATTTTTCTAAAATGTTAATGTCATATTTTCTTTCCAGATCATTTTGGAAAAATGTTCATTTTATCAATAATGACTAATTCAGACTTCTGAACTTCATTTTTAAAGTGTAATCTCATTTTTCTTATCTATTACAATATTAAATTGATAATTTCAGATGAGAAATGAATTTAGCAACTTTTTCCATTAACTTGATATATTAATTTATAATCACCATCAAAACTCACCAGTTTTTCATTTAGCACAAACTCTAGATATTTAAACAAATATTTTAAAACATTTAAATCTAATCTATTTAGATAACTAGAGTAATCATTTTACTATCTAAATTTAGAATTATTTTTAGCACCGAAAAATTCTTAAGTAGTTGATATTTATTTTTGGTTTTATATTAGGAAAATAATATGGTAATATATTATCCCTACAAGATAATTTCTATGTCCCAGTTTATATAATGGTTCATAAAAGCTTAAAATACTAAATGTATTGAAATAATAAATATAAAGTTGTATTATTTTAAAAGATAAATTATCAGACTACTAGTTTAACTGCACTTTAATCATTAAAAAAAAATTATAACAGTAACCAAAATTTTCTTTAAGTAAACAAATATAAATTTTGAACTTAAATACATTATCTAAACAAAATATTTTAAGTGCGATTCAAAGGGTATTGACTTTAAGTCTAATTGGAAAATTAACAATAAGAGTCATGCATCTAAACAATTTTTAATTGCCATTAAACACCCTGGTAATTGATAAGAAAAGAAGGCAGGAAGTTGCGCTATGCATAACGCCCATTCCAAAAGTTTAATGCAATTTTAATCATTTCAGAAACCTAAAAACATTAAATGTGTCACTGAATAACATTAAAGTTAGGTTACGCATTCGGTCAGTTTTTTTTCTAATTAAACAATCAGTTAAACGCGTTGCAATTATCAACCACGTGATAATTTAAATAGCCGTCGGCTTTCCTAATTAGAATGTTTACAATACAAGACCGCATATGGGGTGAGGCACGTCAGTTACACTTCCTTACGATAAATAGTTCACAAGTTATTTTATAATTCCTCAAACGTACCTACTCGATAACTTCCCAATTGTTACGGATAAGTGTTCGGCACGTCACCTCAATTTTATCGATGTAACCGTATAAAACTTACTATGCACTGGAAAAAGAAGAAACCGTGAAAAACTATGCCACGTCTGACATGGTTTTACAGGACACCAACGTGCTTGTCTGTACGGGAATAAAAATACATCCAAGAATAGTACGGGAATTGACTGTGAAAGCGCTCGAGATGTTTTTACTTTATCCACGTGCTGACTTGCGCTAAACCATAATTGGCGCACTAAAATATGATAGACGCGATATCCGTTTTATAAGAATGAAATTTTGATCGAATTTACACGAAAATTTATCAAATTACTGGCTACTTCTTAATGATTAAAATGTACTTTTTTTCGTTTTAAATTCGAAAACTTACGCTAGCTATCAAACATGTTAACTCTCGGTCACGTGAATTCCAAAAACAATGAGGACAACCCGTATCAAACATATGACCCTATTACAAGAAAAGATGTCTATGTCTAAAGATTTCTTTATATGAATTTGTAACGAAAATATAACATGACACATCTTTGCAGGTGTGGGTATGTTATTACGTATGTGTGTCGTTTTAAATGTAAATTAATGGATTATTTATTTTTACTGAAGCAAAAAACTGATTTAACTAAACTATTGAATGGGTACAGATATAATGTGCATGGCCAATTTCCTTGGCAAAATGTAGCATTGTTATCAAACGAATGCCCACTTCCTGTTGCTATGCTTGCTTACGTTCCACATCGCAGCATTTTTCTTTCTTAGTTAAATTCAAAAAATAGCTTACTTAAGATCTTTATATAAAATTCATTTATCAAACAATCACTTTGAACTATTTTAACCATTTTCAAGGCATACTGAATTTAAAATCAAAATTAAAAACTTCATTAGAAGCAACTATCCAGAAAATTAAACAAATGGCATATTTCCTATTAACTGATATAATTAAAATTCAGAATGCTGTATATAATTCTAGGAAGTATTCTAAACTTAACACATATTTGACATTTATCATTTCTTATTTTGTTAACCTGACACCAATACAATTCAATATTCCAGCTGGCTAATGGACTACTTTAATTGCATTAAGTGCATCACTCAGATAAACAGAAAATTTGAATATCCAGCATATTCTTCATTTATACTTGATAATAGAGAATTAATTATAAACAAATGTTATAATAATCTTTAAATGTAAGGACTCAAGTAACAGAAACAAATCATTATAAATCCTTAAGAGTAAAAACTTCAGCAAATATCATAGTTCATATAACTAAACGTAAAATTAATTATAAATAAAATGTTTAAAATGTATAATAATTGATAATTAAAATGTATAATGATTGTAATTGAATTTAACTCTAATAGAGAAAACATATTGTTTAATTATCATCAAATACTAATCTACTTTTTATAAACATATATAACAATAAAATAAATATATGAGAAATTAAGAAAAATCATATGCTCTAATTACTAAAGTTCATTTCCTTAACTTATCATCCATTCTAAAGAAAACTTTATAGTTAAAATTTTTTTTTTATCGTAATCAATGGAATGACAAATAAATATAATATCTATATCAAATACATTTTGATTAGATAGCTTTATGTTACATTTCACTTACAATGTTTAAACAATACAAAACTTTAATTTATAATTTTGAAATTAAACAAAAATCAATAANAATCAAGATCATTTACACTAATATAAATTTTTAAAAATGGTATAAAAATATAAGCTTACACACAATCTTGATTACACAATGAATGTTATCATCGTTAATTTCAAAACATTTTGAAAAAAATCCTATTTTGTCCATACAAACGTAATTGTTTACGCCTCTTTTATGTAATACACAAGTATATTAACGTAACAGATGAATTTCTGTGTGTATAAAACGAAGGCGAAGGTTTAAAAATGACCCTGACAACCACCTACCTGACGAAGAATTTTCGGAAGGGAAAGACACGCCTATGTTGTGTTCAAAGAAGGAAAGAGTTTAAAGTTTTACATTTAAAAAAAATAAATAAAAATAAAATAAAATAAAACAGGTGAATAAGCCATACCTATTACACAGAATGCGATCTTTATAAAAATGATGTACGAATTCTTTTTGGTCATTCTATTCCATATTTAACTTAATCGTATTTATTTATAATGATCTTTGCTTCTTCTTCCTTCTATAATCATTTACTTTTATATCAACCGTCAATAAATATCCATCACTGACTTTAACGTCTTCCAACACATGGTAAACAACAAGATTCATTTCATCTTTATACCACTAGAGGGCTGATCTGATGGCCGTACGTTTGAATAGCCGTAATATCTATTTTGATTTCTATAATTAAAATATTTTAATTCTTTTCTAATTTATTAATAAAAGTTGAATAATCTCGATTTTTAAATTTGTTTTTTAAATATTTTTAAATTAATATTTTAGAAGTTAAAATTATGTTTTTATGAATGGCAGTATGAATGCGTTTCGTGTTACTGGAAGGAAGGTTCGGGTTGGATTTCCATTTCGGGAAAACTCTATTAGTTTTGTTTGTTTACTAAAACTTATGTAATAGTTTTTTTTCTTGGAGGGTACACTCAACAATATGTATTCTTCCTTAAAGGCATTTCGGGCACTTTTTGACTCATTTCTTCAGTCGAATCTTTTATAGTTCCCATTTAACATCATGTCAAATATACTGTACGTTAAAAATTTGGGGCACCACACTTCGACATTCCTCGAGATTCCAATGTTCAGTTAGTTCTGATAAGTATCGCGTCCGTCTGATAAGCGGACATTTCACAGAAACAGATTTAACTCCAAGATGGAGTTATCGTTGGGTGGATGGTCCAACGATCTCCGTTACCCCCATCTTGGAGTTAAATCTGTTTCTGTGATTCTGGGCAAATCTGTTTTTGTGATGCTATCATTTGGCTCAGGTTTTTCGCTTAGAGCTACTCGCCTTATAGAGGCAACCACCTTACTTAGAACGGGATAGAAGACCAACTTCCATCAGAAATTTATCGCCTGTTCTCGCAGCGCAGAACAGATTTGCCTCCGACTCTCATCTGTAAACATTCGTTCCATGAGTTTTAACTTAATTAAGCTAACGAATACGACAAAAACCAGTTTCTATCCAAACAGGGATTGCCGTTTAGTCAACTATGAAAATGCCATTCTATGATATACGTTTTCGTTTTCGGTTCCGATAACCACGTTAGATAAGTAAACTTCTCTTATCAGTCGTCGTTATAAACTTAACAAAAATAAAAAATCCAGCAACTAGTTGCTTAACTTTCCCGACATTTGGTGGCGTCACCTGTTATCATATTTTATTTTTTAAAATTTCTCTATTTTTAACTATTATAAAATATCACAAAGCTTAATTTTGAGAGCAGGGGTGGGTTTTTTATAAAACTTGTAAATGCTAATAACGAGTAAAATCGTCATTAAGTCTGACCCTACTCGATTACTCGATATAGGACCTTTCATCTCCCCACCCCGTCGACCTTTAATCACCAAAACTTAATATCATCAATCCCCCTAATATACAAACCTCCCTTGAAAATTTCAGAATTTTTTGACAAATAGCACAGAAGTTATTAAGCTTCAAACAGGGTAAACAAAATTGTGCCACACACGCATACATACACACTAATTTACTCCCGAATTTTTTTGCATTCCTCGACGTTTCAAGGTGTCCTAAGTCCAAAAATGTAAATATCTTGGGGGGGTCATTTTTTGACTGATCGCCATACTTTCCCTCTGTTATATATAACAGTCGGGAAAGTAAAAAACAAAGAACGTGGCAACTTTAGGTGTAAGTCTAATATTACTTTGGAAGCAATTAGGAAAGAATATTAGCATTTGACATCGTAAATTTCAGTTTCTGCTTTGAGATAATGTTTTTCAGCTAAATAATACCTGTTTGTGATCCCAACTACTAAAGCAGTTGACTAGTAGACACTGTTAAATGGCATCCTTCTTCCGTCTGTCGATTGATTGGCTCCTGAAGAAAACTTTTTGTTTTAACAGGGCGGTGTTTAAACCTATACCGTGGACTCTATTGCAACATGGTTAAGAAATAATAAGATCTAAATTATTGACTAAGCGCCCAATTCTCCACACATGAACCCAATAGATTTATGGCTATTAATCAAGACACAACTCCGCATAAGAAAGCCAAAATACAAAAATTAATTGACGACCATTTCAACAGAAGAATGAAGAAGATATAAACGCTCAATAAACTTTCTTTTTATTCAAGCGCGAACTTCTAGGTCAGGGAGAAGGTAATTTTAACCAATTAACTTCATTGAAAATTTTTACTTTCCTTATTTTTTTCCTTCCTTTTCCTCTTCTTTTTTCCGGGATCCCATGTACAGCCTAGAGTTCTGACGTATTGCATCCGCACAGTCCCACTGTGGCCAGTACTGTACAATATAATAAAAACCGATAACAGGAAATGCTTAGATTGGTGATTTGCTATTTGTCCTTATGTTACGATTTTGGATATATGACTACGGTAAGCCTATGCATTTCGAAATGCATATCGTAGCTATAATAAAACTGTGTTCGGCCGTTACTGTTTGATTACTCGGACAAACGTCAATAGTGTGTGATAAATCCTCCATAGAGCCAAACCTTAGTGCTCATATATCCAAAACGAAATACTTTACTTTGATGGGAGGATGGCCGAGCGGTCAAGGTGGCAGCCTACCGTTCTGTAAAACCCGTGATCGAATCTGAGCGGTCAATAAATTTCAGGAATTTGGTCCGGTCGGATAAGTCGGCCCTGTCCCTCACCACCCAGACGCCTCATTGTGGACTTGCAAAAAAGAGGCCCTCTTAGTGTCTGCGGAAAGAGTTTAAAAAACAAAAAAAAAAGTTAGCGTAAACAGACTATAGGGACAAAGCTTCCTGGCCGCTGTAGGCGGCCCAACTTGCTTCGCCTATTTGTTTTTAATATAGACTATAACAAAAATTTTGTGACGATTCAACTCTCTCGTCTCACCCACTGGCTGCTCACTCCGCTCAAAGTCTCGCCGATGAAGCAACCTCCAACCCTCCCATCCTCACTCGCTTCGCTTTTCTCTTGGCCAAACCCTCCCTACAGCAGCTTGCTTTGCTCACTTGTTCAAAACTTTGGTGACGATTTCATTGATTCCCGATGCGCCTGTTTTTATATTTTTCCGATAGAAAAGCTGTCGTGACGATTTTATGCTACTGTATTTTATAAATACAATGTATAGAGTGGATTTAATTTTCATTTTGAAACACATTTTTTTAAACTATTTCCAACTTGTGTGGGCAGTAAGAGGACCTTTTTATCAAGACCATTACGGCTTTAGTTAAGCACACAATGGGGCGGCCATATAGTGAAGGAGGAGCCAGACGTATCCAGGACGGTCTGCCCGTGAAATACTTCCTGAGGTTTCTTGATTCGTCCGGATTCAATTCCAGATCCCCAGAGGATTGTGCTGTCACCTTAACCCTCGGCCATCCGGCCTTGAAAAATCACGTAAAGAAAATCAACAATTGATTAACAATATGTCTATTCTTCGACAATAACTAGTATTCGAAGCATTGTTTATTTTTCTTTGTTAACAGGGAAAGAGAAGATGAGCATTCGCAGAGATCGGATTTCAAAGAATACTAAAGCAAGGAGAACGTCTAACAGGAGTAAATTATCGAATTATACAAAGAAGAAAATAATCTCCATTTTTCAGATCTCCCTCACTAGAATCCGCATAGAAATTAATGTGACTCTGCCGATTCTAAGCGTCGGTTTGTCAGGGATGGTGGAACTTTCTGTTCCAAGATTCGCTCTGATCACAGGTATGTCTTATAAGTCAAATCAAGCACCATGTAAACATATGTAAACGTATGTAAACGAGGCATTGTTATCGTATAAATTTAATAATATTCTAGTAAATCTGTTTTATTATATTATGTGTAGTTAAACAGTAGTTAAACAGGAGCAAACATCTGGAAGCTCTACAGCTTATTACTGTACATTTTTGTTTGGGAAGTAGTTACACTACGTATCTATTTACCAATACTTGAATTAAAAAGATAACTACAGTTAGCATAAATAAAGCCATAATATTCATAAAAATCCATTTGGGACTTATTAGAATTAGAGCATTCATGAAAATATCTTTTTAGCATAAATAACGCCAAATACTGTATTGACATTAATGGTTAATTCATATAAGTTTATATAATTGTTTATTGATATCAGAACTATTGGTCTTAATTATATTGTCTGCATATGTTGCAACAAAATAGTTCTGCATCCAGATGATTAAATCATTAATGTAAACATTAATTAACATGGGTCCAGAAATGGTACTTCTAGAGATGCTTCTGTTTACAGTAAATTAGTCTGTATACAGTCGACCCCCTATAACACGGGTTTCTATAGTTCGGATTGCTATATCACGGCGAAAAAATTTCGACAGTATTCGTACAAACATGCTAAAAAAACCTCCTATAATTCGGTAAAACGTCATCGCCGACTCGTGTTGCGATAGGATTGGTCAAAGCTAGACCAATAGCGGATATTGCACAAACCGTTGAGTTTAAATGAGCAGCGGACCTACTAAAAACCATTTATTATTTAATATTTAAGAATTTCTATTCCACTTTCAACATTTTTCATACAAAGCATGATGCCAACATATTTATATTTTAATTACAACAGAGATACTAACAAATTTATTTTTGAACATGTCTTTCTTAACAATGGCAAAAACATGGTAATGACTTATTCCTGGGATTGGCTTTTATTCTATTGCAAATATCTACATGTTTTTAATAATAAAATTGTTTGCCTCCATGTGTATTCTGCTGTTATTCCATAGATCATGTGATCCAAAACTGTCAGCATTTGATCTTGTTCTATTAATCTCCATATATTTTTGTACTTCAGATTATAATAAAGTCTACCTAACACAATGTATAAACCATCTCTGAACAGAATGACTGGTACCAACTGATTAAAAAAGTCACCATCATTTAAAATCTCAACAGAACTTCATCTAAGAAAAGAAAATGAAATAGAACTGTTATAACTGATCTGTTGTAACTTGAAATATTTTATGAATAGAATAATCTACAATATTTAAAGTTTGAATATATCAAAAACATGATTCTGTCCATTTTTCAGTGATGTAATTATTGATCTAATCTGTATGCTGTATTCTTGAAAATTTGTTGATACTACTGTTACTTGCTTTAATACACTGTCAAACCTAGTTCTAAAATAATTCCTACAATATTTCA